AAATTGGGCACCATTTGATTGAACTGGAGTAGGGGAAGCAAGGGGTCAAAGAATGGAGGCAAGGAAAACTAAATTTTCGACTCAGGTTACTGAGTACATGATGGAACTACCAAATAAGATAGGGATTATCCAAGGGGAGCAAGGTTTGGGGGCTACTGAAGAGTTCATTCTGGAGCAGATTGAGGTTTTGGTGCCTCTGAAACATAGCATGCAGTCATCTGATATACTGGTCTGTAGCTGGACCTGTGGGAGTTACTGATATTTAGTAATTTTGATTATGGTTTAAAACCTCAAGAATGGAAGATTTCCTAGGGGAGGAGGATGTAAAGGGAGTAGATGGGTGGCCAAAGACAAAACTCAGTGTGCATTATGGTACTGAGATAGAAAAGACCTTAGAAATCTAAAGTGTGGGTCCATCGGAGAGAAGGAGGGGAGAGGGTAAAAATTTCCTGAGTAGAGGGAAATTTTAGAGAGATAAGAAGCAGACCAAATATGAACTCACTCTGTGACAAGCCCTCAGCTGCTTTTTAAAAACTTATTGAATGCCAATGTCAACTATTTTGTGTGTGATATATTAGAAAAATAATTTGCTGAAACTGTTTCTCCATCTTGTGGATAGTGTTTTGGGAAATAAGTTCTCATATATTCATTTTCCAGGAGAAATATTAATGTCATGATATAGGATGAGACTAAAGTAACTCATATTCATGAACTTCTAAACAGTGGGACTCTTAGAAAAATAACTGAAAGCAGCCTTACTAATTTCCAATCTTTGTATTTTTTATGATCAGAAATATTTAGTCTATTTTATTTTTTATTTTATTTATTTATTTATTTGAGATGAAGTCTCGCTCTGTGGCCCAGGCTGGAGTGCAATGGCATGATCTCAGTTCACTGCAACCTCTGCCTCCCGGGTTCAAGTGATTCTTCCATCTCAGTCTCCCTAGTAGCTGTGATTACAGGCACCTGCCATCCTGCCTGGCTAATTTTTGTATTTTTGTAGAGATGGAGTTTCATGTTGGCTAGACTGGTCTTGAACTCCTGATCTCAGGTGACCTGCCCACCTCAGCCTCCCAAAGTGCTGGGATTACAGACATGAGCAACCACTCTGTCCTAGAGTCTACTATTTTAAAGAAAGGAACATAAATACAACATTAACCACAGAAAAAGAAAAAGACTTTATCTCTCTCTAAGGAACACATTCTTTCAGTGAGATGTAACTTTCTTAGTGCCTTTCTAGATAAGATAAGACATTGTACAAATGAAAACTCTTCAATTCGCACCCTTTAAACAGCTGTTTCCTTTGTGCTTGCAGTTCTTTTGGCTTGTTTGAGGAAGATTTTGTGGAAGACAATGATACTTTACTGCTTCCTCTTGGAGCGGGAGAAGATTGTTTCTTTTCTTCCCACTTCCCCATTTTTTAAGGGTAGTGCTCGAGTCACACTTGCACTTCCATGCTGAAGCCTTCTATTTGCATCAACAGTGTGTTCTGGAATCCCACTTTCACATTCCCGCACTTGGCAGACCCAGCTTCTCGGTTTTCTCTGTCTCTACTTCTTGACTTTATTCATTTTTGTTTCAGCCTTTCTTATGGGTGGTTCAGTTTGGCAGACCTGGCTTCTCAGGTTTTCTCTGTCTCTACTTCTTGACTTTATTCATTGTTGTTTCAGCCTTTCTTATTGGCAATTCCGTTTTCCAGATACTCTATTCTAGTCTCCATGCATACATTTTGGTTTTGGTTTGGTTTGGTTTGGGGGTTTCTTGCCTAACAGTACAGACAAACAATTAAAAACAGTTCTCTCCTCCTCTGCCTCCTCCTCCTTATCCTCCTCCTCCTCCTCCTCCTCTTCTTCTCCTTCTCCATCCTCTCCTTCTCCTTCTTCTCTTTCTTTTTCTTCCTTCTTCTTCTTTCTTCTTGCCATGGCCTTGATAGGGTTATTTTCATTGCTCTCCTCCTTTCTCATGGGCACCACTTAAAAGGTACCCACAGAGCTGAACTGCAGGGGTGTGTAGTGGTATATTTAAAGATGAACGTAAAGATGTAACTCTAGGTGTTTGTTTTGGGGATGGCATAACCAGGGAATGAATTTAAATCACTGTTTCTAGATGGATTAAAGCAATGGGCCTTCAACCAAGAAAGATGGCAGGTATTTTTACTTTGCATATTTATTCTATTTGTTGCTATCCTGAAATTTTCAGCTGACAACAGCCAACGTGGACATCTGGCTTGAGAATTACAAGATAGAAGCTTGGTTCAGGCAATTTCCAAGGGATCGTTTACAGAGAGACAGACCTCAGGTCAAATCCCACTTGACTTTAACTTAAATTCCTTAAGATTTTACTTTCCTACCTGTACAAATAGGATAATAAGATCTACCTCGTAAAGACTAAATGAGTTCTTGCATGATAAGGAGCTGTCAGTGTACCTAATATGTGGTACGTGCGCCATAAATACCCCCCACCCCCACCACCCACTTCAGCTCACCACTGTCACCATCTCTGGAACTTTGGACTCTTGACTGCAGTAATATCAAAGGCTTTTCCTCTGAGTACTTTGATCTGTGAGTGGTCCTCTCCCAGCCCCTCACCACCTCTGTCCTGATACTATTTTAACAAGGAATTTACCTGTTTGCTTTAGAAGTTGCTAGAAGTTTACAAAGAAGAAACCTAGTAGCTCAGAAGAAATGTATCTAAATCTGATTTTAAAATTATCTGTTTTATCTGGATTTAAGCTAGCTATATTACTTACCTGTTGCTATATAAGAAATTACCCCAAACTCAGTGACTTGAGACAGCCAACATTTATCATCTGACAGTCACTGTGGGTCAGGGACTTGAGACCATCTTAGCTGTGTGGCTCTGACTCCAGGTCCCTCATGAGGCTGGCATCAAGGCATTAGCCAAGGCTGCAGTCATCCAAAGACTTGACCAGAGATGGGGAACCTATTTCCACGTCCACTTACATGGCTGCTGGCAAGAGGCAGTCTAACAGGGATGAGCCTCAGACTCTCCACAGGGCTGCCTGAGTGTCCTCACAACATGGCAGCCATCTTCCTCAGAGCAAGTGGTATGAAAGACAGCAAGAAGGAAGCCATGATACCTCTTATAACCTGGCTGCAGAAGCTTAACACCATCACTGTTACTGTATTCTGTTCACTAAGTCAGCCAACAGTAAAGGGTACAGAATTAGGTTCCATCTCTTCTCTTCTCTCTCCTCCTCTCTTCTTCTCCCTTTCTCTTTCCTTTATCTTCCTCTTCTCTTGCTGTGCCTCAGTTTCTTATCTGACCAAAGGTAACTTCTGCCCCCTAGGGATGCTATGAAAACAAAGTGAGATCAATCATATGAAAAGGCGGTTTTGGAAGGAGAGTTCAGAAATTCTATATAACATACCATATACCATAACCATGGAAACCTGAGATCAGCTCTGTCTAGCTTCCTGCGCTTGCATCTGAGGAAGCTGTTCCAGCTCATGCAGGCATGGCTTAGTCACAGTGCAGCGTGGGTTCCTTTAATGGGTCCTCTCTGAGCACTGACCTGCTCAGGACACAGGAGCCAGCACCAGGCCCTTTCTTCCTTCTCCTGGGCAAGCAGCACCACTCGTCCTGGCAGAAATAGCAAAAGAAGTTAAGTTCCTGTGTTCCTTGTTAGAGTGCTATGGCAGCTCCATAAAGCTCTCCTACACAGTCCTGTGTCTTAGTGGCTGTTTCTTTACGACTAAAGTAGCATTTCCCCATCTGCCGCCCTCAAAGCTAGGGGCGCTGGGCCCCATATTTCTGGTTCAGGAGTCTCAAGATCTCTGAAAGCACCAGATTGTTGGGATTTAAGTGCTGTTGTTTATTTTTATATCTGGGTCCTGTTTCTCCAAATAACTCCAAGACCATTGTGATTTTCCAGAAGTTAATTCAGTAATCCAGGCTAGGTGGGGAATGGTGGTATTAGCAAATCCTACCTGTTTTCTTTGCAGGCTCATTTCCATCATTGGTGCCCCAAATGCATTTCCCTGTTCAAAGTACCCTACCTTGGATATGTCTGCCTTTGCCTCCACGTCCCTCACCTATTATCTTTAGAAAGGTGGTTTTAAATGTTGGCCACTGAACATTTAGCCACATAGAGCACCAGCTGTCAGAGGTTTTCCAGGTAAAGAAGGTTGGGGGAAATGAAATATGGTTCAATGCAACAGAGTAACCCACACATTCCGTATGTTCTACAAGGTCTCTACTCAGGAGGCTGGCGAGGAAGGATGCTAACATTTCTCAAACTGCCATCTTCTCCCTTCTTTTGGGCAACCCTCGAATTCTATTCGTGGTTATCTATGGATTGTGGAGTCATTTCCCGGCTCGGGAGGTTAGGAAAGGCATGCAAGATTTGAGGGTCACAGGAGTTTGGAAGCACCGTTTTTCTGGCTTTCTGTTACCTCCATTTTAAAGCCATGATACTTCCAACTGCCCTTTTTCAGTAAGCTCTTGTTGACTACTCTCTCGAAACTAAAAGATGCATATCCAATTGTACAGAGGGTCAAAAGTGTGCCCAGTTAAGCCTGCCTTGACTTCAATATTGCAACTCACTGAAGACACACAGTGGAATTTCTGGTGTACCCCTTGCCATAACCCACAGGGAACTCTAGCTATACATGGGTTTTACTGACCTGTTGGGTCTAGCTGACTGTGCCTGACGGTCTCCAATGACCAAGGTGTCCTCATTAGTTCTGTGCTATATTTAGTTAAGCCTGAAATCTGTGCCCCTAATTTAATCACACACCAGGTAGCCATGGAGATGACATCAAGCCTCTGGCTGCCCCATAAACCATTGCAAATGCTGAAACTAAAATAAACAAGATATGCAAATTGGCTTCCTATGTAAATAAAAGACTTTGCCTCCAGGTGTCGGGATTAGCTGCTTTGGGTTCACTGATGTTTGTTCGGATTCACAGTGATTGAAAAATATCAGAGTCACAGCCTTTGTCTCAATGCCTGCTTTTTTTCCTTTTTGTCTGTTGCAGATATATCAGCACTCCTATACTGGATATTATGTCCTGAGCAAAATTCCTCATGGGTAAGAGTGTTCTTTCCTTTCTTTTAATTAGAAATCTGCAGGGCAAAGTGAAGGGTAGAACATGGACAAACTGCTTAACCCTTAGGGCGGGAAACGGCATTCCACTTCTCATAGCCAAGGGTGCTGATATTGCACACCTCTGGGACTCTCCCTAGATAATGACACTAAGGATGTCAGGGGTCACTCGAGTCCACTCACTTCCCCATTTGTGAAGCCCCCTTCCTAGAGCAACCCTGCCCTCTTCCTGTGCTGGTTCCTGTGGTTGACCCTGGAGGTTTTGCAGAGCGGGACATTCCCCTCTGCTTTGTAATCACCTGCAGCCTCCTCTCAGGCATGGTGGGCTGGCCCTCAGCCTCCCACGAGTGTTCCTGGTTATACCCACGCTGGTACAATAGAAGCCCCCCTCAGCCTACCACGTGTCATCAGAAACAAATCCGGAACATATTTATGGGATTAAGGTAAACTACTCTGGTCAGAAATTCAGCAGTGCATTGGGAATGGGGTGGGCAAGTCCATCTCAGCAAGTGGGATTAGCGCTGTTCTACCCATCACTCCAAGGGAGTTTCACAGGCATGTGTGTTCTTATTTTATGGCCTTTTCTGAGCTTGGCTGTGCTCCCAGGAGCTGGGTTTCAGTGTCTGCTTTTGACGGGGTCGCCCGACTCCGTGCTGTTTCATGATCTCAGATTGCACTTCTAACCTCAATTGGTCTCTCAATAATGCATTGTCCGGAGCAGGAGCGAGTTTAGTTTTCAGTGCTGGGCAGACGTCCCCCACGTGACCCTCGGATGCGTGATCAGCCTCACCTTTGGAACCCAGAGCAGGAAAGACACGGGTTAGAGTTTGGTGAAACCACGTGTTGAGTCAGACACAGATGAAAAACAGTTGCAGGATGGTGAAACCACGTGTTGAGTCAGACACAGATGGAAAACAATTGCAGGACTAGGAAAGTCTGTCAAGGAGGCCTTTTTGTTGTTTTCATCTTTATTCTTTGTCTCCTCTTCCCTCCTCCTCCCCTCCCCTTACTCCCTTCTCCTGGCCTTCCTCTTCCCCACCTCAAGTTTCTCTTTCCTGTCTTCTGTAGTTCTGTTGTTGTGCTTTGCAAAGGTGAGGTGCTCAGGAAAGGCTGATAAAGAAACTGAACTGTGCTGCAGGCAGTGTCGTGTAGGCTCCTGTGAATATCTAGGTGGAGGCATCCTCATTTCCCAAGCAAATTTTAACAGCAGGAGTGTCTAAAAAGCATTGTTCCATAAGCAAGCATTAATCACAGCATGAGTGTTTATAGCTGCTGCTGTCTGTTTACGACACAGCTTAGAAGAGAGGCATGTCCTTGGAAAACAAACACTAATAAACTAATTTCATGTGGGCTTTAGACAAAGGGAAGACACATGTGGATCTTCAGCAAAGTGTGACCGATAGTTTCTGTTAGATTGTTAGAAAAATGAAGCCCAAAGAAAGCAAAGATGGCCCACGTTGCAAAAATAAAGCATCCATACAAATTTTTCATTAAAAGTAGGTTTTAAATAGAAACCCAAATAGTCTTCAGTAAAGAGGAGTTATCCTCTTCTTTCACAAACTGACATACATCTTTGGAGGTCATGGCAGGCAGGACGATAATTATGCCTTGAGATCTATCTGCCCCTTCTGGGAACAATAGAATTTGTTGTAGATGATAGATATTTCATTCCATCTTATATCAATTTGTAAAACTCGAAACTCTAAAAGTGGTTGATGCCTAACGTATTGTGTTAATATTTTACTGCATCAGTCAGAATTTGGAAGAAACAGATTCTAGGAACTTGGCCCAGGGGTTTGCCAAACAAGCTGGCAAAGCTCAGGCCAACCCTCGGCTTCTGCACTTAGATACCCGGAGGCTGGTGATGAGCCCCCTTGTAGATGACCTTAACATGGAGGGAGCTGCTTCTCATGTCTTTAATAGAATCAGAGCAAGAATAATCCCCCTCGTTTATTGGTTGGCTTTCATATACCTTTATCCCTGTTCAACAACCTGCGAGAAAAGCATTCTTATTTCCATTTTAAGTGAGAGCTCTGAGAGGTCATCACCTGCCCCTCACGTCCTAGCTAGTGTATGCTGCGGCTGGAGTCTCAGCATAAGTCAGGCTGACTCGAAATCCCATGCTAGTAAAAAAAACTCGTGGCTCACTCCTATAATCCCAGCGCTCTGGGAGGCCGAGGAGGGCAGATCACTTGAGGTCAGGAGTTTGAGACCAGTCTGGCCACCATGGTGAAACCCCATCTCTACTAAAAATACAAAAATTAGCCAGGCATGGTGGTACACACCTCTAGTCCCAGCTACTTAGGAGGCTGAAGCAGGAGAGTTGCTTGAACCCGGGAGGCTAGAGGTTGCAGTGAGCCAAGATTGCACCACTGCACTCCAGCTTGGGTGACAGAGCAAGACTGTCTAAAAAACAAAAAAGCAAAAACAAGCAAACAAAAAAACCCTTGAGATTAATAGATTAATTCAGATTTCACAATGCAGAGAACAAATGTGATAAAGATGAGATTTGTAGTGACATACGAGTTTCTCTTCTGAGGGTTCTTATAGGATTGAAAGATGTAGCAAGAGTATTTATTGGAAAACAACCTCTGGGGGTACCAAAGTCAGTGTCCCACCCTGTCACCATGTCACTGAACACAGCTCCTCTGAAGCAGCGTTGCTCAACCTCCTCAATTCTTCCTCTTTGTCATAAGACCATTTATGAGAAATTAGCCAATTAATTCATGGCAAACATTGTCGGAGTCTGATTTGTCTTAACAAGACAGTGAATCTCTGAGCGGTATCTCCTTGGGCCTGGAGCTTCGTGACCCCTCGGTCATCACTGTCACCGGTGTGCGTGCTCCACCAGGTGGCAGGAGAAGAACACAGCCCAGAGCTCTAAGTCTGAGGATCTAGGTGGGTTTTGGATAGAGAGGAAAGCACAATTGTTTTTTAAAAATAAAAATATCCCTACTAAAATATTTAAATGTACATTATTTATATACAAGAAAACTAAGAGATTTTCTTGATTTTGAAAACACAAATCTGTACCTTTTTTACTAATTCTCATCTTTCCTTTCCTCACTCCTCCCTCTAAATTAAAGTCAGAGGCTGTGCAATCTTCAGGATGGTTTTGTCATTTATAACTTGATTTTTTTTTCTTAGCTTCAGGCTTTCCAACCAGCCAGAGAAAAAGGTCTAATTAACGTTCTCATGCCCTCTGATTTCTAGTGTCCTTCCATTTTGCAAATCAGAAGAGTTTCAGGAGGGACTACCTTTCCCATCCCCTTTTCAGTCCCCTGTCCCCACTGTTAGCTTCCCTCCTTCGATGGCTGTGACCTCTATAGCTGGGGCCAGGTAGAGCTCTTTCTGCATGGAAGGCAGGAGTTGCGATGAGACTCCCAAGACAGCAGAATTTTTATATAATTAAAAATCCATTACCTAAGGGTAGGTTTGTTTGACTTTGACATACCAAGCTTCCAAAAATTTTATTCTTAAATTGTATCCTAAAATGACACATGACTTTTATACAAATCTATATTTTAGCAGAACCAAAGTTAGTTATTTTTAACATAAAGTGTTTCGCTAAAAGTTTTTATATCAGAATTTTAATAAAATAAAGCAATCTTTCATGGTGGAGTCAAGGATCTGTTAGGTGTTTCCAGTAAATATTTTTGTAGACTTGGCTACTGCATGACATTTTCCTGGCATGACTTTTTTTTTCTAGAATTAGTTTTGTCTTTATATTTTCTTAGGTTCTAAAGCCAAAGGCAAAATTATCTGTATTTATGTCTATTATCTACCTACTTAGCTCTATATGCACACATACACATAATACACTTTTAATAGTAGTAATACCGTATTTCTAAAATGTAGTCTCATATCCATTAGGATTGTTCTGAGAGACATATGGACTCTTTTTCTATAACCAAAATCAATTTGAAGAAAAATTGGTCATATTGCTTTATTGTGTAATGTTGGCCTTTGGGGGTCTGGCAAACTCAGAGCCATAATAGAATAGAAACTACTGGGTGTTCAAAGGCATTTTTTTACATGACTGGCCATCATCTGTGGATATTGTTGCTGTAACTTTGCTTACCTACTGGTAATATTCAGGCACCAAACAAAATTGTGAAAAAAGTGTATTTCTTTAGAACTGTAGTTGACTTTTTAAAGCCACATTCTGTATCTGTGGAAATAGGAAACTGAGACATCGCTTCCTTCTACCTGGAATTGCTCTTTAAGTTTATAGACTGTGATCCAGAGGAGTGTTCTGTTTATTTAGGAAATAGATATCTAGGTGGAGAAAGTACAGTGTCCAGTGCCAGCCTAATAGCATCATGCCAGGCAATGACTTAGGCCCTGCAGCCACATAGACCTGAACTTCAGCCCATTCTGCTGTTGACTTCTGGCTGTGTGACCTCAAGAGCTGTCCTACTTCCATAGGTCTTAGGATCCACATCAAAACATCATCATAATAGTGCCCACTTTGGCCTGGTGTGGTGGCTCACAACTGTAATCCCAGCACTTTGGGAGGCCGAGGCAGGTGGATCACCTGAGGTCAGGAGTTCGAGACCAGGCTGGCCTGTTGCAAAACCCGTTTCTACTAAAAATACAAAATTAGCTGGGCTAATAGGTGGCAGGCACCTGTAATCCTAGGCTAATAGGTGGCAGGTGCCTGTAATTCTAGCTACTCAGGAGGCTGAGGCAGGAGAATCACTTGAACCCAGGAGGCAGAGGTTGCAGTGAGCCGAGATTGTACCATTGCACTCCAGCCTGGGAGATAGAGCAAGACTCCATCTCAAAAACCAAAACAAAACAAAACAAAATAGTACCCACCTCATAGGCTTGTTAGAAGAATTAAATGGAATGACTGCGTGTGGTAGCTCATGCCTGTAATCCCAGCACTTTGGGAGGCCGAGTCAGATGGATCACTTGAAGTCAAGAGTTCGAGACCAGCCTGGCCAACATGGTGAAACCCCGTCTCTACTAAAAATACAAAA